CACAACCTCGTATACTGGGTAGCCCAGTTTTCTGCCCTAATTCCATAAGCAATGAATTTTCCTAGTCGACTAGGGTTTGAGCTTGACCAAGCCCAGATCCACACATGTTCATCACAGGATATGATCAATAGTGGGAAACTAGGGATACGAGACCTTTTCGGCATCAAAAGTAGCGCTAAAACCTAACCCTATTCAATTTTTAGATGTGTTTGGGTGCTTTAATCCTCCTCAATGGATGAGTATGTGAGTTAAAGTTCAAGAACATGAAGAACACGAAGAAAAAGGAAATACCATAGAGGAATATTAAAAACTCACCTGGTCAGAGCTTTGATCAATGTCATGATCGGGGAGGCGCACCCCCAACGACAACGGCGATGAAGAATAGATGCAAAAGGTGCTCTGATTCGAGCACTGTTGATCGAAGATGGTGACACTGGTTTTGGGGAAAATGGCTCAATGGGGAATAAATAAGATGAACAGTGAGAAGTACAGAAGAAATGAAAGGGTTAGGAGTATAGAATGGGAATAGGTGCCAAAGTTTGAATTTGGAAAGACAGCGTGGGATAGCTGGATAGGCAATACGGGGCCAATTAGTGAACGACACGTGTCTATGATGAGACCGGCGTCAATCTTGAAAAGAAAGGTTGTAAGACCAAGCATGAGGACTAACGCGGTTGAAAAAAATGAAACGATTTGGAAGTGTGAGTGGTGGGACGATTCACCGAGTAGATAACGATCGAGTACGAGGATGAGCTCGGCCAGTGAATGTAATCCCGATCACGCTAACACGGACGAAATTAAGGGGCAATTGAGAGGGAGATTTATGGCTTAGTAATAGGCTGAGGTAGTTTGGGTCAGAGTCAAGGTCTTCGCTCGATTAGACGTTGGACACGTGCTGGGCCGAAGAGTATGTCCGGTCAAGTTAGAGATGACTTTGAGCTACTAGCCTAGTGGAGATGTGCATTATTCTAAGTTAGACAAAATTTGTCCTCAGAAGGCCGGGTTTGATTGAGCAGGAGCTCGCTGTGGGTTACAAAGCTCGGTTCAACCTGCAAACTAGTTTGTTTGATAGGATCGAGCAAGTAGCGCGACCCTGAAGAAGGATTGTGGCACCGCGCTTGGTTTAGCTCGGTGGGGTGTGCTTTGTGGCATCGTTTGACTATTGGAAGGAGATTCTGCCATCTATACGTGTCAATACCGTTAGGCGGTATTAACATTCGGTGTTTGGCAGTATTAGCTCTTGCACATGGAAGAAGGTAAGAGGGGAACATATCCACGCGTTAGAAAGAGGAGACAGAGAGGAGTGCGTAGAAATTATATAAACGGTGCTGAGCCTCCATGCACAGGTCTGGAACATCTGGTTATCATAGCTACCTACCCCTTTGTTTCTCTTTGGATATCACGGTTAGTAGAGGCCGGTCTTCGGACCGGGCGAAAGGGGGTGCTCATAACTGACCTTCCCCGATCGTACCCTAGCTCCCGAGCCGAGACAA